GTGCAACGCACGATGCACACTAGTTATACCTAAAAAGAGGAGGGGAGAGACACACCAGCCGGCTAAAAGTGGGAGGAAAAAGAAAAAGGAGGCCACTTCTGAATGATAAATCAACACACTCAATATATATATACATATATATATATATATATATATTATACCTAGAAAGAGGAGGGGAAGAGACATCACGCAGCCGGCTAAAACTGGGAGGAAAAAGAAAAAGGAGGCCACTTTTGAATGATAAATCAACGTATTCATGCATTGAAAACATGGGTTGCTACGTGGAGAATTGGACTGCATCAAAATATACACACACTAGCTGGGAGAAACACAGAGGCGGTTAAGTTAAAAGAAAGATAAGAGAAAGAAGTCAAGAAATGCTGCTTCTGGAGGAAAAAAAAATAGAGGTTGACATTAGCAAAAATTTTACACGCACAGCAAGTGGAAGAGAAAGTGGCTGACATTGAAAATAATACATATGCAGACAGCCGAAAGTAGACTGAACGCACGAAAAGCTTCACGTTTCATCAAAATTTGGTGATTTCTTTTCACATTTGCGTGTTTAAATTTAACATTATAAGTGGTTAAATACTTTTATTGTTAAGATTGATGATATAACTTAGAGTTTTTATTATGAGCCTGTTTGGTACAGATTCTCATTTTCTAGAGTAAATCAATTCTCATTTTCAACCACACATTTTTCAATAAAATAATATTTTCCATCATATCAATACTTTTTTCTTCTTTTTTAATCACACATTTCCCATCATATCATTATTCAAAAATCAATTCTTCCCCCAAAAATCCCTACCAAACACACTCTATATGTTTAATTTCAAGATTTTCATGCCATTTTGAGATTTGTTAATTAATTATTGTGTGTTTAATACTCTAATTATTTGTGCAACAATTAATTGATTTAGAGATAGTACCGAGATTCAAAAGATGATGTATAATTTTAACTCGTGCAATAATTAACATAAACATTATAAGAGATCGAGAGATAATTATAAGTTACGCGATATTTATTGAATTTCTATAGATAAATGTATTCATATGTGTGTAAATTTACATAGAGATATAGTAAGTTCGGGCAGTGTTGCTAGAGAAAGATCACTAAATATAATAGGTTTATTCGATTGTTAGCTGGTATGAAGAATTTTTGAATTAATTGAAATTAAATGTATGATAAATAACTTAAGCGAAATCGAAAATCCTAACTATCCAATCACATAATCTTTTCTAGAGTTTTAATTTGAATTTATTATTTTAATTAATAGTTTGTTATTTTATTTATTGGAATCTCGCTTAGAAAACAAAACTTGATTTGATCATTAGTTACTATTTTAAATTAAAGTGAAGTTATGTTAGTTTAAAAATTTGTAGTAGATAATAGTCTCTTTGGGAGGATATTCGGACTTAAAAAATCCACTTTATTAATTGCACGATCTGTACATTTGGGAAATTTAACGAACAAGTTTTTGAAACCGTTGTCGTGGACTAGTTTACTTGCTTTAAATTTTTAATTAATTTTAGTTTTGATTTATATTTTTTTCTTTGTTTTTGTTTTTGTTTGTTTTTGTTTTCATTTTCGTTGCAAGTGTCCCTGCATGCGAAGTTCAAGAGTAGGTAATTTAGTACAATTCGATTCAGAAATCCAACGTACTTTCAACCATATAATTAGGCAACAACGAGAGAATATCATGATAGAACAGAACAGAGTTGTGCAATCGGCACAGGTTGAACAACCAGTCGAGATTGATGAAGATGATTTGCCACTTAAACAATTCATCACGCCACATGTTGCACCAAATCAATCAAGTATCGTTAATCGTCCGTTTGGGCAACCAAACTTTTAATTGAGGACATACATCATTTTATTGTTCCAGAATAGAGTATCATTTTATGGAAAATCTCATGAGAATCAACACGATCATATCTCGCACTTTTTGAATACCAACCAAAATTATAATTTCCATGGAGTATTTGATGAAGCAATCAAATTGAGACTCTTTCCACATACACTCAGATATGGAGCAAGAGAATGATTGGATGCCCTACCGCTAGAAGCATTAGGACCCGGAATGATCTCGTACAAAAATTCGGTACAAAATACTTACCACTATCAGAAAGTGTCTTAATCACGATATTATGAAAAATTTGCAAGTTCAGTACTTCTACACTGGCTTAAACCCATCGTGTCGTATTTTGGTGGATGCACTTCAAATGGATCTATCACATTAAAGTCACCCAATGAAGTTGAGGAATTATATGAGATGATGGCAGCCAACAATGCTTTATGGTCTTCCGAAAGATCCATATATAAGAAGCACACAAGTCTACATGAGGTGGATGCTTTCTCGGCATTATCATCACATATGTCAACATTGGAGAAGAAGGTGATAGATCACTTGACTATGAGAAATACAGTAAAAGTAGTGCAAATGAAAATTTTGGTTTGCTGTATATGTGGTGGAGCTCATAATAGTGGGAAATGCCATATGGCATCTCGAGAGACAGGGAAAGTTAACTATGTTCAAAATTATCAACTCCAACACAACAATGCATTAAGCAATATATACAACCCAAATTTGCGTAATCACCCTAACTTCTCCTGAAGCAACAACCAAAATAATCAGTAACAGCCTCCCCCTGGTTTTCAACAGCAAGAAAAAAATTGTCTCTAGAAGATATCTTGAGTAATTTATACAAAAGACCGACCAGTATATGGCAAAGACTGAAACAATCTAGCAAAATCATTCGGCAACCATAAAAGGGTTGGAAACTCAAATAGGTCAGTTAACCCATACTATCTTGGAAAGACCACAAGGAGCCTTGTCTAACAACACAAAAACTAATTCAAGGGAACATGTGCAAGCAATCACAACAAGAAGTGATGTACAACTGCCCAAAGTTACAGTAAAAAGACCAGTAGTAGAGACAAATAAA